TCACCTAACTTTATCGGTTTCTGAGTTATTTGCATTTAAAAGTTTCAATGTATTTTGTGGTGATTTTCTTTCAAGCGTCGATATTGCTATTTCTTTTCTAAGTAGGCTTGTGTCAAATTTTCATGTCAATAAATATTAGCGTATTTTGCATGCGTGTGATTTTATTATTCGTTCAAAATTGTTAGTTAGTGCTCAAAAAATGCCACGACATAATAATTTTTCAAACAGTGAGATGCGTGATATGATTTGTGTTTTTGCCCAGGCTAATTTTAATGGACATGCGGCGGCCCGAAGATATGAACACATGTACCCAAATAGATTGCAACCTAATTATAAACTATTTAGAAATCTTTACAACCGCTTAGGCGAATCTGGATCTTTTCGACCAAAAAGTAACCATGGTACTCCAAAATCGATCACAGTCGATGAAGAAGAGGAAATTTTAATTCGTGTTTCAGAAAACTCCGGTATGAGTACTCGTCGGTTAAGTGCGGCAACGGGGGTAAGCCAATCGTCCATTTGTAGAATTTTGAAAAAAGAAATGCTCCATCCATATCATTATACTCCGGTTCAGCAGTTATTGCCTCAAGATTTACCAGCTCGCCTACAATTTGCTCAGTTTGTACAAAATATGCAAATGGAAAACCCAGATTTCCTCAATAGGATTCTATTTACCGATGAGGCGACATTTACTAGACGGGGAGTTTTCAATTGGAAGAACAATCATTTGTGGGATTCCGAAAATCCGCATGCTGTAAAAGAAAAACATTTTCAGCATGAGTTTAAGGTGAATATTTGGTGTGGTTTAATTTCTGGTTTTTTCATAGGACCTTTTGAATTATCACCCAATCTAACTGGACCTCATTATTTAAACTTTCTTCAACATAATTTAAACGAGCTTCTAGATGATGTACCACTCGCTTTAAGAGAAAGTATGTGGTTTATGCACGACGGTGCGCCACCACATTTTGCCTTGCCGGTACGCCAGTATTTAAATGAACATTTTCCTCATCGGTGGATTGGCCGTGGGAGTGAATTTTGTTGGCCACCGAGAAGTCCAGACTTAAACCCTCTGGACTTCTCAGTATGGTCAAACTTGAAGGATGTGGTGTATCGGGAAGAAATTAATTCTGTTGAGGAGTTGCGGCAGAAAATACAAGTAGCCGCGAATGCATTTAAAAATAATAGGGACATTTTGTTTAATATTCAGAGACATTTAAGAGAGTGTATAGTAAAATGTATTGAGGTAGGTGGTGGACACATCCAGCATTTGATTTAAGGTTTGTTATTATTACTATTATCAATAATTGAGAATAAAAAATCACCACAAAATACATACATTGAAACTTTTAAATGCAAATAACTTAGAAACCGATGAAGTTAGGCGACCTAAACAAGAGTACATTTTTTATGTAGAATTGAACGTTCTTTTAGATTTTAACTGTTCTTAATCATAGCTGAACAGATAAAAAAAATATGTTTTGATTTACCTAAATAATATGGCGAAACTAGCGCCCTCTAGGAGCAACATCAAAATAAGCTTCAAATTCGTAATTCTCACACAAAAAACCCAATACTACCAATTTTCAGAGTCATGCTATTAAAACTTTCTCAATTATTGAGAAATTTCAGAATAAAATTTAAACCTTGGTCACCCTGTATTTCTTAGACCAGCGACATTCGTATAAGACATGATAAGCTCGAATATAATATTTTGATGTCTAGTATCTCCAACTTATTGTTGACCCATTCTTTCTGACTCACCCTGTATATCCACAGCCCCTCATCTGCCTATCTTCCCCCACTTCTCGACCGCGTACTCGCGTTCGGCCGTTTTTGAGCATGTTTCGAGAAATTGTCCACCTATTTCACATCATTTTATCGGAAAATTAGAATATACGTTTTGTAGTATTATACTTCTACTTTTAAAATCCGGCTGAAAAATTAAAATCGGACCACCTCCAACGCATCCAGAAATTTTGCAAAATTCAAATTGCAATTGTGCCAAAGATAATAGTCCAACAGCGCCTGCTTTGTACACACTTAAAGTACATATAATTTACTATTTTTGTGCACAGCTTAAAAAATGACAGAGTAATGAATTTAAAAAAAAAAAATGCCAAATTTTACGATTTTTCCGGATTTTCTTCATTTCCAATTATCCAATCAGATCGATCGACCTCTCATTTTATTCGTATTTCGTTTCTCTACAAATCTATTGATTGGTCTACTTGTAAAATTAAATTGAGTTAAGTATATGGTATGTACCTACAATTTCCGTTTGGTTGTGCAATTTAAATTTATTTTTAATTTTATATAAATTTTATAATTTAGGTATAATTCTATATTGAAAATGCATTGTGTTTGTTTGTTTAATACGCAGAAATAAGAGTTGAAGCAGCATTCCTCATCGCCTGCTTTTAACAGTTTACAATATGCATCGCCCAGTGCATGATTATAACGGTTCTTTGTTAATATTTGTTTAGTACTTGTAGAAAATGTTTCCTATGTATGATACAGTATGTATTTTATTGGAAACACCATTTTCCAGATGGAAAATCGAGGACAAAAAGGATTTTTTAAATTGCGAGAGACCTGTGCCTTATTCTCTCGATATGGAAAAAAGGGGAAGACAAAAGACAACGTGTATGTTCGAAAGTTTCGGAATGAATGGTAATCGGAGTATAAGTGGTTATACTCTAACTTCTTAATGAATTAATTTACAGATAGTTTTATTTGATATATACACACAATTTCCATGTATTCTACATGCACCTGCAGTTTCTTGGTTAATTTTTTCTACACCCTATCCACTGCTTATCATTTCACTTACCAATATTTTTACACAATTTTGTTAAAAGCAACAGATTTTCTTGTTCGACTGAAATTGCCTTATTTAACCAGACAAACATATCAGTCACATAAATTTGGATATCATGTGCTTTCATTTCAATAGGAGCTGGTTTGCCAGAAGGTCCACCTTTATTCAAGGCGTTTATAAATTCACTAACCAAAATACTTCGCCTGCATATGCAATATTCATCAATAACATATCTGCAAAATATTAAAGTTATTAATGATACTAGTTTGATATGAACACTATAATGAAACACGTGTAACGTTAAATCATGAGGCGTTAGCCGAGTGATTTAGTTACACAAGTTTCATTAACAAAGTTCATATCGAACGTGTATCATTCAAAATTTAATCTATGACGGTCCAAATAAATTTTATTTGTAGATTTGATTTATTTTAAAATATCAGAAACGTGATAAATTGAAATGCAAAATTATTAGGTGCTCTTATTTGACGATGTCATGGTAACCACAGTTATTGATTGTTTTAAATTTGACTCTGACAACTTTATTATTGACGTCCAATTTTGTGTCATACGTTCAGTTTTAGTGAAAAAGTATATTAATATAGGTGATACTGTCCCTTCGGATATCGAAGACATTGTGCAAAGTCTTGTCAATACCCTACTTCCCGAAAAATCAAGACAGATGTATGAGCAAAGTACGTCTATTTAATTGTGTTTCTAAAAAGAAAATCGGAAGGATTTTGGGCAAAAAAATCTGATTCAAACAAAAAAATATATCTCAATTTTTGCTGGAAGCCGACGATAGAACTATTTTATGATAAAAGTTGCATTGATAGTGGGGCTTGCAGGTGCTTGCAGGCATACTGAATTGACAAATTTGCACCTACAAAGTGTTAAAGATGAAGGGCAATGCATTCATATTATTATTCCGTTTACGAAAACAAAGATATCACCACATTTTTTTATCACAAATGGAAACATTGAAGAAATATATATGGTGGAAATAGTTCGAAGATATACATATAGTGATGAGGCCAAGCAATACAAATCACTCGATTTTTTGTGGGGTACAGAAATGGAAGCATCGAGCAGCCAGTTGGCATTAATACTTTTGGCAAAACGTGTAATATAGCATTGTTTCTGGGTCTTCCAAATCCTCAACAATATACTAGACATTGTTTTCGTAGATCATCTGCGTCGCTGCTTGCAGATTCATGAGTCGATTTATTAACTGTTAAGAGGCATGGTGGTTGGCGCTCTAACACAATGGCAGAAAGCTATATAGAAGATTTCAAAGAAAATAAGAAGAAAGTAGCCTCTAATATTTTGGGTAACGTTTCAGACATTGATGGCCCTTCAACAAGTTCAAATACTCGGGAAGTAAACTTACTTTCTTAAAATACAGCCCACTTATCATCTGCTGGAATTAATTTAATAAATTCTTCAGAAGTTGTAATTAATGTTTACAATAAATAAATGTTGAATTTTTTATAGTTAATAATAAGTAAAAGTGGTGATTAACTTTGTTTTTGTTTATTTTTTACTCTAAAATTTGCATGCCATTATGAATTCATAAAGGTACTGATTGTGACAGTGTTATTATGAAGGCCATAAATTGCCCATAATGGCATTCAAATGAGGATGCTAAATGTGTCATTATGACACCGTCACAGATTAAATTAATATAAAACATTAAAAATTATATTACGTGTTAATGATCTTCAATATTTTCGTAAAAGTAACCCAGTTGCGTGGGTTGTATTTCTCTAAATACAATTGTTATGTATCACAAAGTGATCTTGAAAATTGAGACCTCAATTGTAATATCAGAATTTTAGCTTATCTGTGTTCCAAACGCATTAAGAATAATTCCGTTGATATTACAGGACAAAATATGTATTGATTGTATACCGATTGCAAAAGTGCAAGTAACATAAACATGTTATTTAACTACAAATTACTGAACTTTAAGTGATTGTGCCAATAACTAACAAGCAGAGGAACTTTGAAATAGTTATACAGAATCATGATCCCATAATCTAAATTTTGGTTATGTCGATTTTATGATTATCCAAACGAATATTTTTCGCAATATGTATAGCTGTATGGAGTGATCAATATATCTTAGGTAATACATTTTTCTTGAGAGTAACTGAACATAATTACATTATGAAAACTGTTCTGAATCCAGTGACTGTTATTCGAATGCAGAAAAAAGTGGAGCTTTAGTAATTTTTCGAGAACCATATCCCTGTCTTAATGCTGCTGGAAATAAATGTTTCAACTGTTTTCGAGATATTAATAGTTGAAAATTGCTTTCCTGAAATTCTATGCCTTGATCTTGAAATACTTTTCTTCAAAATTAACTCATCTAAAGTTATTTTGCAAAATGGATGTTTATGTGACAATTGTTACAAACAGCATTTGTGTTCAGCTAATATAGAATCCCTTGTTAAAAATGTTACTTTGCAGAATGAATCAAATTTATCTGAACATTTACCAATTTTGTAAAAATGTTAATAAATTGTCACATAAAATTTGATTGTTCCTGCAAAATATACTTTTTTCATATAATTAGGACGAGAATTTCAGGAATATTTTAACTGATATCTCAACCGTTTCTGAAATACAGAAAATTGTACACTTTGTTTAATTAATGATTTAAAAAACAATCTATTTTCATTCTTCCATAGCAAAAGATATTTACTTAGAAATAACATATATTTCAAAAAGAACTTCACTTCTACTTTTGAGATGAAAAAGATTGTTTTTCGAAACGTTAACTCATTAGATGATGAGTGCAATTTAATTGTGCATATTTTTATTATTCTACTTTTTTTAGTTCAAATCTTTGATTTCATAAAAACTAATCTGATTATTTTGAAGCAATGGTTTATTTTCTTCACAGATGGCAAATCCGCAAAAAAAAATAAAAAATTATTCACTTCACAAAAAAAATTAGGAAGTTTTTTTTTCAAAATACATTTTTAACAGTAACAAATTATTGGTCTGAAAATGTTATTTTATTTTATTTTTTTTTTTGGGAACTATACTTGTTATTACTTTTTTTATTGTACTTTAAACAAAAAAGTTAACCACATAATTCTTAGGGAAAATTGAACATTAATTAGTTTTAGTTAGTTTCGAAAGATGGTAGTAGCTATATTATTTTATTAAATAAATGATAGAAGAATAGTGAATTAGTCAATATAGTTATTTCCGATTCAAAATGTTCGTTCGGAAGTGGAGCAAAGATTTTATTATTGTATGGAAGTGGAGGGAAACCAATTTCAATACTTAAACATTCTTTTGTTAATTGATATTTTGTCTTATTCTTCAAGTGATGATTTTATTGTCATATCCAAACCAAAATTTAAGAAGTCTTATGTCGTCGTAAGCAAAATTGAAAAAGCTTTAAAATGAGGTGTCACTCAACATAGGGTGTCATTTAAGGTTTAAGGGTATTTTACACCCCTGTCTAAGGGATAGCTTCCAAGACACCAAAACTTACACCATCACGTGCCCCTCTTCAAAAGAAAATCGACGTCTCGTTTTTTTGTTTTTTTTTTAATTCCAATATATTCCAGGTGGGAAGTTTTAATTGGAACACCCTGTATTTTAAATGAAGATATATATTTTTGTTTTGTGATATTCCTTATTGCAGATATTTTTTAGTCTTGTATTAATCATTTTATTTTTAAAATTAGTTCAGTTTCACACTATTTCTTTTACTGTATAAACTCATACAAGTAAATAGTTTTGGTGTAGTGCAATAATGTTGGGGGGGGGTCTTCCATAAAATATTTTAGAGGGTCCCAAGTGACTAAGTTCGCGCCCGCGGAGAAACTATTACCTAAATAATGGAAGTCTATCCTGCATCCTTAACATTGAATTTGCAATTAGTTCTGTTAGTTCCGGATTATCTACATATCTGCAGTGACTTTGTGTCCACCTATATACCTTTTCTAAAGCTTCTTCCTAAAACAAAAAAGTAAAAAATAATGAAAGAATATTTACAGATACATTTTTTTTGTGTCATTTAAAGTATTAAAATACTAGTTAATAAATAAAAAAATAAATACACTACTGGAAAAAATAAAAGGGAAAAAAATCGGACATTTTTTAGTGACTTTTGACAAACTGTATCTTAGTGAAAAATGGTCCTATCGAGATTAAAAAAAGAGATTTTGAAGCTTCAAGTAAAGAAACAAAAAGTGAATATAATACAATGGCGCATAACGACCTATTTTATTTGTAATAATATACAGTGATATTTTTTTTTGGCAAATAGAGATCAATGATACCCACACCTCCGCCACTGGTAAGTTTCTAAAGCAGGTAATTTTTTGTTTCATACCTATTGTCATATCGAGGGCTGAGAACCATAAGGTTCCAAGCGACAATTTGTACAAATTGTGTTTTTTCACAGAAACCTGTTCTCTGAAATATTCTACACAGACAGCTGTAAAAATTTAATTAATATGTCGGTAGATGGTGGTAAAATCAACAAAGAAATATAGTTTCAAGTACACATTACGCTTTCGTGTTCGAACCATATAGTTCTAAGTGTTAAAGTGTATTGTGTGTGTTAAAGTAACGTTGTTTATTCTTGATGTCCTCTGTTTCTGATAGCGAATCTTGGGAGGATTTTTGCAGCTCCGGCTCAGAATATCTTCCCGAAAATATTGCTTACAAATGGATGCCATTACAAGATCAAGAATATATGAAATGTCTAATTTCTGAATTTAAAAAGAAATAAATTTAATATTGTTTCATCTTTGTTTGTATTACTGTTGTGTTCTTGTGCAAATGTTTTCTAAAATTGTAAATTTAAAATGTCAAATAATGTTTTTCCATTTTTTCCTACCTAATTACTACCATATATTCATTTATTGTAACATCTTGTTCAAGTTATCGAAATAAAAGTTATTTAAAATATAATGGGTTTATTTCCACCAAAAATTAGGTAGGTAAATAAGACTACCAAAGAAGATCTTCTATCGAGTTTATTTTCATAGGAATTGATCATAATATTATAGTGTCATAAGGTTTCAAGTACAGTGTTTACAGTGCCACAAGGTTCCAAGTACAACTGCACTTTTACAAAAAAATCAATAAATTAAGCATTTATAGTTCAATTACAGCATCTTATTATGTGTTTCTAATTTTTTAGATTGTTACGCAAAAACTTATATCACATTCTACAATTCCCAATTCTGTTAGAACAGTTTTCTACAACATCACAGTTTAAACTTCATCTCCTGAATATTTTTATAAATGTCGCTTGGAACCTTATGGTTCTCAGCCCTCGATATGTACTAAATATGCATACCGAATTTGATTAAATTATCTTAAACGGTTTAGAAATTAAAAATTAAAAACTGACTTTTTTTAATTTTTGACATGCTGTAGCTGAACATTGTCTGTCCCACATTTATATAACAAAAAATCCTTATTTTTGGCCATAGAATATGCACCTGGATTTTTGACCTTTACTTAAGAAACACTCTGTATTAACATGTCTGCTAGCTGCGACGAGTACCGACTGAAAAAAATATATATTAAATATCTTTGGATACTTGTATGAAACATTTTTAATTGAAATGTTACTGGTAGAAATCAAGGAGGAATAGGCTCTAGTCCAGTTTGGCTTTAAGAAGGACAAAGATACACTGGAAAATGTCAGACTTGCCAAACTTAAAAATAATGAATTATACGGCAGAAAATAGTTATGCATATTTATTCCTCTTGATGACCAAAATGCCTTTAATACAGCAAGGTGGAATGGAGTCCTGGATATTTTAAAGAGAAGGGGGAATAGTGACTATATTGCAGAGATTATGAAAAACTATCTAGAAAACCGAATTATATGGGTCTAAACATGAAGTTATTGGGGGTACAGAGTTTGGTGTCTAGGCTGCAATTGTGGAATTTACTGTTACTCATGATACCAAATATCCAACACTGCACATAAATTCCCTTATTACGCATCCCTCTTTAATTTCATTAACAATTTGTTCTAAACAGGCCGCCCTGGGCAATTGCTCCTTACTCCTTTAGGAAAATACATCCCTGCACTTACTTGGTGTAAAATCATTTGCTCCATTGTATCCAAAGCCATTGTTTGAAGACCAGATCGCATAAGTATTCTCGAATTGTTATGTATCTCTTGAATTTTATCCAATGCAGAAAAAGTAGCATGTGTTAAAGAAAGGCTTTTTTTGTTTCCATACAAAATTAATAAATCATCAGATGAGAGTTGAAATTTGTTCAAAAAAGAAGATGAAATTTTTTGTTGTATAATCATTTTGTTCCTAAAATCAAACAAAATTATATTTTAATTTATACATTCATCTTTTTAAAGAATGTGAACGAAAACCAATTACTGATATTTACCTTCCACTCTGTAATGCACTCGTTTCTTGTAATAGCAACCTAGTCTGCTGTTTGGAGTTTTGTAATTTACAAGTTATTTCTTTGACACAATTACTCATTTCCGCAATCTGGTTATATATTGAGGTAAACGAGTCTTTCACTATCGAAAATGATGACAAGAGATTTACATTTATATCTAAACTTCTTTTTTCTATTTTACTTCGTAAATCTCTCCGAGCTTGTATCGTATTTTCTGGATAAAATGTCGACAGTTGTTTCAGTGCCTCCAAGGTTCCCTACAAAATAATAAAGTGATATTTTATGTATACCTCATAAACAAATTATTGCAATAATAAATAAATTCAATATTTGAAAGGGGCTAAGAGAAATTTTTTAAAATCTCCAATGTATTTTATGTGCATAACATTCAATATTACTAGGTTTATTGATTAACTTATGTTGTTCCCTATTTATATACAGGGTGAGTCAGTTTTTTGTAGACAAACTTTAACAGGAGATAGAACACATGTTTTTAAAAAGAAAAGTTCCTATAAACATATGTCGTAGAAGACTTCATTTCCGAGATACAGGGTGTTGAATATAATTTTTTTTTCTCGAATTTTCATTATAACTTATAAATGAATTCTTAGATTTTTTTCATGTTTGGGGGATAATGCCTATTGATTAAGGGGCATAAAACAAGCAGTAAGAATGTTCAAAAACTTGCACAGTGGCGGAGTGGAGGGGGTGCTCAACCCCTTTCTTAAACAGAACATCTACGCCAATGAATATTCTTTTAAAAAACTGTTATTTTCATTATCTACATACAGTTTAACAAAAATAATGTCCCTTCTTCTGTTTCGAAATTCCTGTGCGTTTCCGAGTTATTTTGATTTTTAGTGTTTGATGTGGTACTAAATTAATTTATTTATTATCAATTATCGGCTAAATATTTAATTGTATTAACGAAACCTACCTAAATATGGTTTATTAAGGATTCTAAAAAGCCGAAATCTCATATTCTTTATCTCTTTCCAATGTAGTTAAAATAAATATTTGTTATATCAAGCCATACTCAAATACAAGACTTTTATAAATTGAAATCTGTTTAGTAGGTACACTAATTTTAACAATCCTTATTTATTATGTGCTGCGTACTAATGTACTGCAACTAAATTACAAAAAAAAACATTGATGTTAATGTTTATGGAGAAATTTTTTGAATTTAGAACAATATTTAAGTAACAACTTCTTAAAACTTTTTGACAACTGCACAATAATGTATTGTATGTATGTAATGTAACAGATTTCAACTTATAAAAGTCTTGTATTTGAGTATAGCTTGATATAACAAATATTTATTTTGACTACATTGGAAAGAGATAAAGAATATGAGATTTCGGCTTTTAGAATCCTTAAAAAACCATATTTAGGTAGGTTTCGTTAATAGAATTAAATATTTAACAGATAATTGATAATAAATAAATTATTTAATTTAGTACCACATCAAACTCTAAAAATCAAAATAACTCTTAAACGCACAGGAATTTCGAAACGGAAGAAGGGACATTATTTTTGTTAAACTGTATGTAGATAATGAAAATAACAGTTTTTTTAAAAAATAGTCATTGGCGTAGAAGTTCTGTTTAAGAAAGGGGTTGAGCACCCCCTCCACTCCGCCACTGTGCAAGTTTTTGAACATTTTTATCGCTTGTTTTATGCCCCTTAATTAATAGGCATTATCTCCCAAACATGAAAAAATCTAAGCATTCGTTTATAAATTATAATGAAAATTCGAGAAAAAAAAAATATATTCAACACCCTGTATCTCGGAAACGAAGCCTTCTACGACATATGTTTATAGGAACTTTTCTTTTTAAAAACATGTGTTCTATCTCCTGTTAAAGTTTGTCTACAAAAAACTGACTCACCCTGTAGATATAGCCCCCTATTTAGATTTAATTTAGCTCTATAATTAGAATTGCTTCCATTAGGATAATTTTTCAAAATACAAATCTCAATATTTGAGCTCAATTAAGACTTCAGCTTTTATGCGAGTTTTCCACTAAACAAACAGTAGTTTATGTTGTGTTTGTGTTTTTTATAGAACCTGAAAAACAAAAACAAAACAGAAACAAACCCAAAACTCTTATTTCCATCAAGCGGGCTACATTTTGTTCGAGTTTTGCTTTTGTTGAGAAAAGGAAGGCACCAAAAAAAAACTACAAATATAAAGGTGTTCCTTAAAAAAACCTGTTTGGTTTATATCTCCATCACGATACTCTAGCGTTTTAAATAAAATTTTTAATTTGGCATCTCCCCAAAGTAAAAAAATTGTGGTTTATATTTCCTTTATGATAGTCTAGTTTTTAATAAAATATTCATCAATTTGGTTTGGTTCCAAAGTGAAAAAAAGTTACTTTTGATATCACCTAAGTCATTGGAAAATCTACTTTAGCATAGTAAGAAAAAACAATGTATCTGTTACAGTGCACTAATTTTTCTACTATAAATTAAAAGATAGAAATTAATTACTTGATCATCCTGAAATACAGTTTCTAATACTTTATTTAGCCGTTTAGAAAGAATATGTTCATTTTCTTTTAAAATCATATTTAAAATGTAAACCGTAAACCCTAAAAATAACACACACAATATAATTTACTTCACTGTCACATCAGACCATAGAAAATATACGTTAGTACTATATTTTCTATGCATCAGACTATGCATCAGACTTCAGTTCAGATCAGTGTCAGGACTGTCAGGAGAGATGTCAGAGTATCATCTGAGCTAGTGGTGGGCAAGATCCGCGGTTAAACACAGACGCGCCATTATTCCATGGCTAGAAATTGGCCTCAATGATTTGGGATCGAGGGGGATTATCCCTCTTTATCATGCCTCATCTCGTGTACGCCTGGACAGCCTTCGTAGGTGGGCCCCATCCGTCGTCTACCCCGACCGCAAATGCGGCCGGTGT